TCTTATAAATATTCATATTCCAGCTGTCAAACCAGCAGCAACAATAATGATTGTGTTATCAGAGGGAAATCTGTGGTATTTGCAGACAGAGATCCTTTTTTTCTGGGACCTCATGTTAGCATGCTGTGCGAGTAATTACAAAGTTGCTTGCACAAAGTCCACTGCACATGCTCAGAGCACTGACAAAACTTTAGTGCTCACCTTTCTTGGTGCTCAGGCAGTTGTCCAAAAAAAAAAAAAAGAATCCTATTATAAGTGGGAAAATTGACCTTATTTTTATTTAGAGATGTCTTCTCAAGAGTCATACAGAACCTCAGTCTTCTTTATAATGGAGTTTATTTTGTTTTAATACTGGCACAGGATCAACATGCTTAATTTGGAGGTAATACTTGGAGGTAGAGGAAATGCTGTTAGTCCAGATGACATACATATGGAGATGTCTGGGAGAGAGGGCAGTGAAGGTAATAATCAACAAGCAGCGGTACAGCTTCACGCTGAGAGTGTTGATGGAGAAGACAGAGGAGGTTAGACGGAGCTGGGCTGTGTTGTTGTGGCTCTAGAGAAAACATGTGACAGGGCGCCAAGAGAGGAACTGTGGTACTGCATGAGCAGGTCATATGTATGAGATCTGCTCTGAGCCCCTTCTTGTTTGTGATGTCACAGACAGGCTGAGGTCAGGCAGGAGTCTCTATGTGATGTTTGCAGATGGGATTGTGATTTATAGTGAGAGCACGGAGGAGGAGGAAGACAGGCTGGAGAGGTGGAGGTGTGCTCTGGAGAGAGGATGAGTGAAAGTCAGCAGAAGCAAGACAGAAAACATGTGTGTGAATGAGAGGGAGGCATGAATGAGGCAGTGGCATGAACAAAAAGACATGAGGCAGAACTGAAGATGTTAGTTGATGATGTTAACAGCAATATGATCACTTTAACTGCAGATAACTTAAAAAAAAAGGTTAAAAAGTTAAAAAAAAAAAAACCCTCTTAGTTTGTCCATTTGACTGTCACAGTGAACAGAAGATTTTATGTTTTCTGTGTACCACATGAGCACAGGGCAGCTATCACTATGGTGATGCTGTGCAAGTCAGGTAAAAACATTTATTTTTAAATCATTTATAAAAGTTTCCTTTACATGACGTGTAAACAGCTGCATCATTTTAACACCTGAGCAGCTCTGTGGTCATTACGTTTCCTGTTTTGAGAGCTAAACTGAGCAGAGGTGTTAAAGTGGCTTCAGGTTAAACA